ATTCGGATTTGGAATCGGATAAAAATATATATGGGAGCTATATCCAAATCGGAACCGATCTCGATAAAATTTGGCAAAGATATTTCTGAGCTGTATTTGATATATTTCCCTGAATATCGTTGTTACGGAGTGCATATTACGGCTGTGGGTAACAAATATGACAAATGGGATGAATAATATATAAGGGAGCTATAGCTATATCTGAACCGATCTTCACCAAATTTGACATACTAGCTTCTAGACTCAATTCGGTCGTAAGCGCCAAATTTCATCCAATTAGACGTTTGGTGCACAATAAAAGGTAAATCGGACGAAGTTATATATGGGAGCTATATCCAAATATGAACCGATCTCGATAAAATTTAGCAAATGTACTGAGCTGTAATTGATATATTTCCCCAAATATTGTTGTTATAGAGTGCATATTACGGCTGCGGAGGACAAAAATAACAAATCGGATGAACAATATATATGGGGGAGCTATAGCTATATCTGAACCGATTTCGATCAAATTTGGCAAACTTATTTTCAGGTCCAATCTGATTGTACGTGCAAAATTCCATACTATTCGGACTAATATTACACGTTTGGTGGACAATAAAAAGCAAATCGGACTAAGATATATATGGGAGCTATATTTAAATTTTGACCGATTATCTCCAATTTCAATAGGATTCGTCCTTGGGCCAAACAAATCATTTGTGCAAAATTTCATCTGAATAGGGCAATAAATGCGAACTGTACTTTGTTTACAAAAATACATGGACAGACGGGCGGACAAGCATAAATCGACTCAGAATGTGATTCTATGCAGATCATCAAAAGGAACTATGGGTCTATCTCGTTTCCTTTTGCCGCTTACAAACAAATGCACAAAGACATAATACCCTTACCACCTTGTGGTGTAGGATATAAAAATGGTGGAGGGCATTGAAAGTTCGGCCCTTTTTTACGTGTTTAATTTCGAATGTATACTTTTATGGGGACATTTATTGGTATCATTCGACATTCGACATTCGACATTCAATTTTTATCGGTTTTCCCAAGAACAATGATACCCAATTCTGCGTCATATCACATAAATGTACAGTTATAGTCCGAAGCTCCAATGCATTCGTTCACTATTAGTACAAATTGTCATTTCTACCACAGACTGGCCCCACTGTCGAATTTGAAATTTCGAAGACTATTAATTCTCCACCCACCAACAAATTAGTGTCCCTACAGTTCTATTACGCAAAACCAATGGCACTAAATTTTAGTATTTTGAGTTTGTAGCGCATAGAAGAAAGTTTCTCAAACATGTATTTTTACTGCTACTGCTTATCGCAATCCTACATACCAACAGTGCGTCTACTTCTTAAGCAAAAAAAAACTCATATAAATTTGAAAAAATCTGACGTTTTAAATTTACCTTCAATATTGAATCTAATGCATTATTTGGACTAGAATTAATCGAGATTTTTTAATTTTATTCAATTAAGCAGAAGATTTCTAACGCTGCTAATTAAAATGCATGTCAATTACCCACATTTGTTCCAATTGAGTGCATAAAATGTGCAATTTCACACCATTTTATGGAATTTAATTTAAATTAGCAATTGATCACCAAAACCATCGCCATCATCACCGACATCCTCCCGTCACCGTCAACATCCACATCATCGTTGTACATATTTTGCTTTGGTATCATCAAATGGTCATTTAAGCCAATCAAAGTTTATGCATCAATTAAACTTTGATATTGCGTGAAATTAATCTTCACGCGAAACGAAACCTACTCTCTCACACACACACACACATATGCTCTCACTAATGCACTGCCTACAACCACATAGTCAACAGCAGCAACCAACATCAAGGACTCTTCTATTATATGAAAGAGAAATTTCATTTTATTTTTCAATGACAAATATTGTGATGGTTTTAAAGGATGTGAAAGGATTTTACATGCCACAGCAGCAGAGAGGCGGGACTAGTGAGACACGATGCTGGTATTTAATTTATTACAAAATAATCAATAGAATTTCAGTGACAACAGCAACAACAACAATAACGATACTGCAATAATCTGCATAATTAAGTTCCTGCCACACCGATAAAGCCATTGTCATTTTTGGTCCTGGCATAGCTAATAGCCAATATCCTTTACATCGGCGTTTGTATACTATCTAAACATACAAACACACTCACGTACCAATTATTGAATCCCGATTTAGAATATGGTGTGAAAATTGTGTAATTATTTGCTCATTGTCACGCCAATGTTGATTTAATGGCTGCGAATGAGTTTCAGAAATTTATAAACAACAGAAAAATGCTAAATTTTTGCAAAAGTAAATAAAATATTAAAAAAAAAACTGCAGAGAGCTTAATTGCTGCTATATTAAAATGTGCTCAGAAGGCTTTTAGGTAGAAGACTTGAAAGGTTGTCCCATAAAGATCTTCTCCCAAAGGCGATAAAGGTCTTGTCATAGAAAACTTGCAGGTCTTCTCATAGAAGACTTCTCAGGCCTTCTCATAGGAGACTTCTCAGGCCTTCTCATAGGAGACTTCTCTGGTCTTCTCATAGAAGACTTCGATGTCTTCTCAAACAAGACTTCTCAGGTCTTCTCATAAAGGACTACTCAGGTCTCTTATAAAAGACTTCTCAAGTCTTCTCAAGCTTTTTTCATAGAAGACTTTTCAGGTATTCTCATAGAAGTCTTCTAAGGTCTTCCCAAAGAAGACTTATCAGGTCTTCATAGAAGACTTCGAGGTCTTTTCATGGAAGACTTCGAGGTCTTTTCATAGAAGACTTCAAAGTCTTCTCATAGAAGACTTCTCAGGTCTTCAAAGTCTTCTCATAGAAGTCTTCTTAGGTCTTCTCACAGAAGACTTATCAGGTCTTCATAGAAGACTTCGAGGTCTTTTCATGGAAGACTTCGAGGTCTTTTCATAGAAGACTTCAAAGTCATCTCATAGAAGTAAATAAAATATCAAAAATACTGCAGAGCGCTTAATTGCTGCTATATTAAAATGTGCTCAGAAGGCTTTTAGGTAGAAGACTTGAAAGGTCGTCCCATAGAAAACTTTAAAGATCTTCTCCCAAAGGCGATAAGGTCTTCTCATAGAAACTTTGCAGTTCTTCTCATAGTAGACTTACAGGTCTTCTCATAGAAGACTTCTCAGGCCTTCTCATAGGAGACTTCTCAGGTATTTTCATAGAAAACTTCGAGGTCTCTTCATAGAAGACTTCGATGTATTCTCATACAAGACTTCTCAGGTCTTCTCATAGAAGACTTCTAAGGTCTTCTTATTGAAGACTTCTCAAGACTTCTCAGGTCTTCTCATAGAAGTCTTCTAAGATCTTCTCATAGAAGACTTCTCAGGTATTCTCATAGAAGACTTCTCAGGTCTTCATTGAAGACTTCGAGGTCTTTTCATAGAAGACTTTAAAGTCTTCTCATAGAAGACTTCTCAGGTCTTCTCATAGAAGACATCTCAGGTCTTCTCATGTCTTCTCACAGAAGACTTCTTATTGCTCATTCTCATTTCATAGAGGACTTCGAGGTCTTTTCATAGAAGACTTCGATGTCTTCTCATAGAAGACTTCGAAGTCTTCTCATAGAAGACTTCGAGGTCTTCTCATAGAAGACTTCGAGGTCTTCTCATAGAAGACTTCGAGGTCTTCTCATAGAAGACTTCGAGGTCTTCTCATAGAAGACTTCGAAGGTCTTATTGCTCATTCTCATTTCATAGAGGACTACGATGTCTTCTCATAGAAGACTTCGAGGTCTTCTCATAGAAGACTTCGAGGTCTTCTCATAGAATACTTCGAGGTCATCTCATAGAAGACTTCGAGGTCTTCTCATAGAAGACTTCGAGGTCTTCTCATAGAAGACTTCGAGGTCTTCTCATAGAAGACCTCGAGGTCTTCTCATAGAAGACTTCGAGGTCTTCTCATAGAAGACTTCGAGATCTTCTCATAGAAGACTTCGAGGTCTTCTCATAGAAGACTTTGAGGTCTTCTCGAGGTCTTCTCATAGAAGACTTCGAGGTCTTCCCATAGAAGACTTCGAGGTCTTCTCATAGAAGACTTCGAGGTTTTCTCATAGAAGACTTCGAGGTCTTCTCATAGAAGACTTCGATGTCTTCTCATAGAAGACTTCGAAGTCTTCTCATAGAAGACTTCGAGGTCTTCTCATAGAAGACTTCGAGGTCTTCTCATAGAAGACTTCGAGGTCTTCTCATAGAAGACTTCGAGGTCTTCTCATAGAAGACTTCGAAGGTCTTATTGCTCATTCTCATTTCATAGAGGACTTCGATGTCTTCTCATAGAAGACTTCGAGGTCTTCTCATAGAAGACTTCGAGGTCTTCTCATAGAATACTTCGAGGTCATCTCATAGAAGACTTCGAGGTCTTCTCATAGAAGACTTCGAGGTCTTCTCATAGAAGACTTCGAGGTCTTCTCATAGAAGACTTCGAGATCTTCTCATAGAAGACTTCGAGGTCTTCTCATAGAAGACTTTGAGGTCTTCTCATAGAAGAATTATAGGTCTGCTCATAGAAGATTTCAAGGTCTTCTCATAGAAGACTTCGAGTTCTTCTCATAGAAGACTGCGAGGTCTTCTCACTCAACGAAGATTTGTAGGTCTTCTCATAAAAGACTACTCAGGTCTTCTCAGTCAACGAAGATTTGTAGGTCTTCTCATAAAAGACTACTCAGGTCTTCGAGGTTTTATCAGTGAAGATTTCGAGGCCTTCTCACAGAAGGCTTCGAGCTCTTCTCACAGAGTTCTTCGAGGTCTTCTCACAGAAGACTTCGAGGTCTTTTCATAGAAGACTTCGAGGTCTTCTCATAGAAGACTTCAACGTCTTCTCATAGAATACTTCTCTGGTCTTCTCATAGAATACTTCTCAGGTCTTCTCATAGAAGTTTAAACAATCTTCTAATGGAAGACTTGAAGGTCTTCTCTAAAGTTAATATACCCCAAAAAAACACACACACACACAAAAATCGATTAATAAAATATCCCACTTAAGTGGAAATTTAATGTTTCTTTATTAATTTTCATATTTGAACACACACACACTCACAAAATTGATTACATTTACGTGCAACGTTGTGATAACACGCAGCCTTTTATTTATCTCTCTTCGAAACACCAACCCACGACCATCCAAAGACGACGCGGTGCGAAGGTGTTTCTCAGTTCTTTTCATCAACTCATTCTCAAGAAACAAGTAAAAGAATTTCAAAATAAGTATTAATAAAAATAATAATAATAACAGAAACTAAGCAATAAATATAAACAAATGCTATTGTTCTGCGTTAGTTTCTTCTTTTTTTAAGGGAAAGATGGAGGTAGTTGTGGAGAACAACAACATCGGGAATACAATAGAGTAGGTGATCCAAAACAGGGGAGGCTAACAGCATTTGGTTTAAATATCATTAATCTCGGTTTCATCGCAAAGTCATCATAGTTACGGCACTATTGAGCAATCTTTTTACTATCTTTCTTTTCGGCTTTCTTTGACTTCTTCTTTGGAGCTACGGTATCCTTACGATCTACATCTTCATCTTGAGGATAGATACGCCGGAAGAGTACAGCATCGGCCCGACTTAAACTTGCCTCTATAGGTGGCTCACATTCATTCCTCACGATACGACCAAAATGATCATCTAAATTATTCCATAGGCGTTGGTTCCAAGGCACACTCAGTTTATCCAGTATACGTCCAGCAATACCCGGCAGTATGGGCTGCAAGACAATGCCACTCAGACGCAACGTATCCATGGTCATGGCAACGATTGTCTCCAGCCGTAGGGCATTCTCATCAGTTGGCGGATAAAGGAGACTACGTTTCGCCGGTTCTGTCACCGTTTTCAATTTCAACTCCCAAGGCCGTGAGGTTTCAAAGAAACTATTTGCAGCATGCAATGCTGACATAACATTGTCTACGGCCATATAAAAATTTTTATCCTCATAGTGTTGGCCACATTTTTCTGCCGTGGGACAAAATCCAATGGAATGACGCGGACGATTGCCATGAATAAATGGGAATGAATGACAAAATTAAGATTTGCCACAATAGAAGCAACCAGCATTGTCACCATCATCATCATCATTAGGACCAGGAGCAGCAGCAGTGACATAATCATTAGGACACCACCACCAAACCAACCAGCATAGAATGAATGCCGGCCAATAGCAGAGGAACCATTGTCATTAGGTCGTTTTTTATTCAGCAATGTCACGAAGAATAGTGCAGAGAGAGGGGCAAAGGCGACGATCGTCCAAGAAAAAAAAAAAGAGAGAAAAGAAAGGAATTGTTATTATTTAAAGAAAACTTCTTTAGTGGTTTATCTTATTCCTATATTTTTTCTTAATTTTTATTACATTTTATGAGCTGTCACGTCACAATGTGAAAAACTTCGCAAGTTTAGGGAGAGAGGTGTGATGAGTTTGGAAAATGAAGAAAAATATTAATCTTAGACTAAAAATAATTCCATTAAGGGAGATCAAGGTTTTCTCGTAGAAGAGCTTCAGGCATTCTCTTAGAAGAGCTTCAGATCTTCTCTTAGAAGAACTTCAGGTCTTCTCTTAGAAGAGCTTTAGGTCTTCTATTAGAAGAGCTTTAGGTCTTCTATTAGAAGAGCTTTAGGTCTTCTATTAGAAGAGCTTTAGGTCTTCTATTAGAAGAGCTTTGGGTCTTCTATTAGAACAGCTTCAGGTCTTTTATTAGAGGAGTTTCAGTTCTTCTTTTAGAAGAGCTTTAGTTCTTCTATTAGAAGAGCTTTAGGTCTCCTATTAGAAGAGTTTCAAGTCTTCTATTAGAAGAGCTTTAGGTCTTCTATTAGAAGAACTTCAGGTGTTCTATTAGAAGAACTTCAGGTTTTCTATTAGAAGAACTTCAGGTGTTCTATTAGAAGAACTTCAGGTTTTCTATTAGAAGAACTTAAGGTCTTCTATTAGAAGAGCTTCAGGTCTTCTATAAGAAGAGCTTCAGGTCTTCTATTAGAAGAGTTTCAGGTCTTCTATTAGAAGAGCTTCAGGTCTTCTCTTAGAAAAGCTTTAGGTCTTCTCTTAGAAAAGCTTCAGGTCTTCTATTAGAAGAGCTTCAGGTCTTCTATTAGAAGAGCTTCAGGTCTTCTATTAGAAGAGCTTCAGGTCTTCTATTAGAAGAGCTTCAGGTCTTCTATTAGAAGAGCTTCAGGTCTTCTATTAGAAGAGCTTCAGGTCTTCTATTAGAAGAGCTTCAGGTCTTCTATTAGAAGAGCTTCAGGTCTTCTATTAGAAGAGCTTCAGATCTTCTATTAGAAGAGATTCAGGTCTTCTATTAGAAGAGCTTCAAGTCTTCTATTAGAAGAGCTTTAGGTCTTCTATTAGAAGAGCTTCAGGTCTTCTATTAGAAGAACTTCTATGAGAAGAGCTTCAGATCTCCTATTAGAAGAGCTTCAGGTCTTCTATTAGAAGAACTTTAGGTCTTCTATTAGAAGAACTTTAGGTCTTCTATTAGAAGAGCTTCAGGTCTTCTATTAGAAGAGCTTCAGGTCGTCTATTAGAAGAGCTTTAGGTCTTCTATTAGAAGAGCTTTAGGTCTTCTATTAGAAGAGCTTTAGGTCTTCTATTAGAAGAGCTTTAGGTCTTCTATTAGAAGAGCTTTAGGTCTTCTATTAGAAGAGCTTTAGGTCTTCTATTAGAAGAGCTTCAGGTCTTCTATTAGAAGAGCTTCAGGTCTTCTATTAGAAGAGCTTCAGGTCTTCTATTAGAAGAGCTTCAGGTATTCTATTAGAAGAGCTTCAGGTCTTCTATTAGAAGAGCTTTAGGTCTTCTCCTAGATAAGTTTTAGGTCTTCTCCTAGAAGAGTTTTAGGTCTTCTCTTACAAGAGTTTTAGGTCTTCTATTAGAAGAGCTTCATGTCTTCTATTAAAAGAGCTTCAGGTCCATCCTTCATGTATTCCTAGGCAAAAACTTTAGGCTTTCTTAAAATTATTTTTTTTTATTAATTTTTTCTTCTTTATACCAATCTAATCTCTCTATCCCCCTGTGATGCCTGGGCAAATATCTTTAAAGGAAGAATATGAATTTAATGGAAATTATTGTAATTGGTTTGATGTTCCAACAGTGGCAGAGAACAACAAATGCAACAACAAACAAACTATTAACCAGCATTGGATGGCTGCCTGCCTGAATGGTTGGTTCAAAATGAATAGCTGCAGTGCCTGAAATGGGTAGTTGAGTGGATAGATGGATGAATGAATGAATTGTTGGCTGGTTATGTGGTATGGTATGCTATCGTGTGTGTGTGTGTGTGCGTGATGGTAGCTGGCTTACTATGGCTAAGTGTGGTAGTGTGCGCGTGAGTAAAAATGCAAGCTAGTGATTGAATTAATGCCGGTGGAACTAGCTGCTCCCGGTTAGTCGGGTTTAAAGTGCATGCAAAGCAATTTAATGTCCTTTAACAAAGATTCTATGATGTGTTGGTATAATTGGAGGTGGTGGTGTTATTGACGGTGTTGATGATGATGACGAAGTTAGTGATGATGACGGTGATGATGATGATGCTGGTAAACCAAGTACTAACTACGATGGCTACGTTACATTAAATGCCCGACTACTACGCAACAAAACTAAAAGCGAATATTGGTTAAGCAGCTTAAATGTGCTCCCGACCACAGCTGACCCGCAAACCAGACCAGAGCCGTAAAGTAAGGTGTTCGCTCACAATGTTGTTCGTTCGTTTATTTTTTATTTATTCTAGCTGTTTTATGTTTGTTTTCGTTTTATTTTTTTTCTTTGCGAATAAAAATGAAATCTGATTACCGAGACAAGCAACCGAGTGTAGTGGTATTATAAAAATAGAGAACAAAAAAACTGAATAAGAATAAATTAAAATGTATCAAATATTGTAATATGCCATCAACAGATGTTTTAGTTCATAGTAAATATGATTTATATGAGTTGCAATCAAAGAAAAAAAAATGCAAAAAGAGAGAGACGGAATAAAATAGAAACGAGAGAAACATTTTTTTTTATGTCAATACTCCTTCACGACCACTTGTAACTAATAATGTGTTTAAACGGTTGTTGTTTTATGAAAGTGATTTATGTAAAGCATACTTTTAGGCACCCGATGAGATTTTTTAGATTGGAAAGTAATAAAACTCAGTGTTGCCATTACATGATAAATTGTTATACTCATTTTCTTTAATCATTTAAAAATAAAGTGGTAGTGTTTTAAAAAAAAAAAACTCATTATTAATAGGAAATAAGTCATCGAATAATATGTATGTGTGTTTTAAAAGAGAGAGAGAGAGAGAGAGGGAGAACACAAATGTTGCTTTAATTTTGTTTGATTAGATTTGATTTTTTCATGAATTTGTTCCTCCTTCAAAATCTTTCACCGAATGTTGGGACTTTTCGTACCACAATCGAATGTTATCCTGAGAATCTTAAGGTAGTTCGTTGTGGAAATTCGTGCCATATTCGTAGGTTAGTCAGTGAAATTTACTAAAAAATCGTTTAATTTTTTGAAAATGTTTTAGACGCGCCTTAATACTTGAAGCTTTGTTTCAGGACATGCTAGAACTTTCAGTTTTTTGTTGTTATGCTAGTTATATATATATATAAATATATATATATATATAAATATATATATATATATATATATATATATATATATATATATATATATATATATATATATATATATATATATATATATATATATATATATATATATATATATATATATATATATATATATATATATATATATATATATATATATATATATATATATATATATATATTTTTTTTTTTTTTTTTTTTTTTTATTCGCAAAAAAAAAACGAAAACTAACATAAAACAGCTACAATAAATAAAAAATAAACGAACGAACAACATTGTTAGCGAACACCTTACTTTACGGCTCTGGTCTGGTTTGCGGGTCAGCTGTGGTCGGGAGCACATTTAAGCTGCTTAACCAATATTCGCTTTTAGTTTTGTTGCGTAGTATTCGGGCATTTAATGTAACGTAGCCATCGTAGTTAGTACTTGGTTTTGCCACATTTTCCCATGTTTCTAATGTTTCCTTCACCCTAAGGTGGAGGGTATTAAAACTTCGGCCCGGCCGAACTTAATGTTTTTTTACTTGTTTTTCTTAGTGCCAGTCCCCGTTCTTGTTTTGAAAAGCAGACAAAATGTTACAGTTTCTATTAGTTATAAGAGAGTTGAAGCATTCTCTCATCACGAGCTAGCTGAACCAACATATGTATAGACGATCTAAAGAACTTCCCATATAGGCGAGCTAAAACTGAACGACTTTATTCCTAGAGCTAAGGTGGAATATCATGGTTACTGTAGGCAAGTCCTTCCTTCCTTCCTTGGCTATAGACTAACAGGGACCAAAGCAGGAAACCGTTCTTATTGTAAGTATGCAATGAAGTGAGCATCCTTTCATCATAACCTGTTTTAAGCAGAGGTCAGAGGCGACCCAAGGCAGGAAGACCTATTGGCGTACTGCAGCTGCAATACTTCCGGATGGGCGCACTGGATACGGCAAACCTCACTTCCTTCATTTAGGTCAACTGAAACAATTTCTAATTGCAGGCCAGATAAAACTGGGATCCTCTAGTCTTTCATGTAGTCCAATTAAAGTAGGAAACAATCTTTCCCAATAGGTTTCCCGACACAGGGACCCTTGCTGTTTTAAGACTGTTGGAATAGTGAAGTTTTCTTTCTTATGGGCGATACGAAGTTGGCAGCCTTCCTTATTGGGGAGCGCTTCCGATCGAATTCGAATGAGTTTCACTCTTTGTGCAAACGAAGGAACGAGCTTTGCGGAGGTATACCGGACTGTGTGGTCCGATGAGTCCCACATACATATTAGATCTATGGTTGGTAGAAATATTGAGACATACGAAGAATAAGGAAAATAACCGAGATGAAAGTTATATATATTCAAAATTTTTTACCATTTGTAGTGGAGAGGGGAGTCGACCTTTTTCTTGAATTTTCTTACCTAACCTTAGGCTACTTAAAATAAGTAAGACGTTCAAAGTATCAATCAGAGTATAATCAGATGCCATTTGCTTTTTATTATGCAAATTATTTTCGTAATTACTTTTTTACCATCAGTCGGAGAGGTACCAGAAGGAGTGGGGCGATTGTATCCATCTCCGAAATTAATCTATGTTTGATAGAAATTACGATGTACTAACAACAATAAAGTTGGAAACATCATTCGATGTGCACAAGACGTATTAATGACCTCAAAACGTATTCCGTCCCAAGTGTTAGGCCCTCTTTGTCATTTCGATTTTTTATACACTTCACCATAGTAAGGAAGGTATATTAAGTTTGTCATACCGTTTGTAAATCCTCGAAATATACATTTTAGACCCCCCAAACAATTCTATGTCAATCAGCATGATCAGAATAAAATTCTAGGTCGATTTAGCGATGTCCGTCCGTCCGTACGTCTGTGGAAATCACTCTAGCCTCCGAACGAAATAAAGTAGATTGATAAAATTTTACTCAAATATATATTATGTCTGCAGGACTTTTGGTATTGAAAATGGGCCATGTAGGTCCAAGTTTTGGTATAGCCCCAATATAATGGTACCTCCCTATTTTCGGTATTTTGGTGATTTAAACTACATTATTCCCTGGAAATGTTTCGAATTTGGTATTTGAAGTTCAAAATGGATACTACATCCTAAGACAGAAAATTGTCTGTGAAGGTCCACGTCTTCGTATAGCCCCCATATAACAGTACCTCCCGATATTCGGTATTTTGATGATATTAACGACATTATTCACGGGAATTGTTTCAAATTTGGTACTTGAAGTTCAAAATGGATACTACACCCTAAGACGAAAAATTGTCTGTGCAGGTCCACGTCTTCGTATAGCCCTCATATAACGGCACCTCCCGATATTCGGTATTTTGATGATTTTAGCGACATTATTAAACGGAATTGTTTCAAATTTGGTATTTGAAGTACGTAATGGATACTACAGCCTATGACAGAAAATTATCGGTGCAGGTCGACGTCTTCGTATAGCCCTCATATAACGGCACCTCCCGATATTCGGTATTTTGATGATTTTAGCGACACTATTCAACAAAATTGTTTCAAATTTGGTATTTGAAGTTTGTAATGAATACTACAACCTATGACAGAAAATTGTTTGTACAGGTCCACGTCTTCGTATAGCCTTCATATAACGGCACCTCCCGACATTCGGTATTTTGATAATTTTAGCGACATTATTCAACGGAATTGTTTCAAATTTGGTATTTGAAGTTTGTAATGAATGCTACAGCCTATGACAGAAAATTGTTTGTACAGGTCCACGTCTTCGTATAGCACCCATATAACGACACCTTCTGATATTCGGTATTTTGATGATATTAGCGACATTATTCAACGGAATTGTTTCAAATTTGGTATTTGAAGTACGTAATGGATACTACAGCCTATGACAGAAAATTATCGGTGCAGGTCGACGTCTTCGTATAGCCCTCATATAACGGCACCTCCCGATATTCGGTATTTTGATGATTTTAGCGACATTATTCATCGGAATTGTTTCAAATTTGGTATTTGAAGTTTGTAATGAATACTACAACCTATGACAGAAAATTGTTTGTACAGGTCCACGTCTTCGTATAGCCTTCATATAACGGCACCTCCCGATATTCGGTATTTTGATGATTTTAGCGACATTATTCAACGGAATTGTTTCAAATTTGGTATTTGAAGTTTGTAATGAATGCTACAGCCTATGACAGAAAATTGTTTGTACAGGTCCACGTCTTCGTATAGCACCCATATAACGGCACCTTCCGATATTCGGTATTTTGATGATATTAGCGACATTATTCAACGGAATTGTTTCAAATTTGGTATTTGAAGTACGTAATGGATACTACAGCCTATGACAGAAAATTATCGGTGCAGGTCGACGTCTTCGTATAGCCCTCATATAACGGCACCTCCCGATATTCGGTATTTTGATGATTTTAGCGACATTATTCAACGGAATTGTTTCGAATTTGGTATTTGAAGTTCGAAATGGAAACTACAGCCTAAGACAGAAAATTGTTTGTGCAGGTCCACGTCTTCGTATAGCCCCCATATAACGGCACCTCCCGATATTCGGTATTTTGATTATTTTAGCGACACTATTCAACGGAATTGTTTCAAATTTAGTATTTGAAGTTCGTAATAGATACTACAGCCTATGACAGAAAATTGTCTGTGCAGGTCCACGTCTTCGTATAGCCCCCATATAACGGCACCTCCCTATTTTCGGTATTTCGGTGATTTAAGCAACATGTTTCGCCGGAAATGTTTCATATTTGGTATTTGGTGGATACTACAGTTTAAGACGGAAAATTGTCTGTGAAGGTCCACGTCTTCGTATAGCACCCATATAACGGCACCTCCTGATATTCGGTATTTTGATGATACTAGAAACATCATTCACCAGAATTGTTTCAAAATTGTTTTTTGAAGTTTGTAATTAATACTACAGCTTATGACAGAAAATTGCCTTTAGAGGTCCACGTCTTCGTATAGCCCTCATATAACGGTACCTCCCGATATTCGGTATTTTGATGATTTTAGCGACATTATTCAACGGAATTTTTTCAAATTTGGTATTTGAAGTTCGTAATGAATACTACAGCCTATGACAGAAAATTGTCTGTACAGGTCCACGTCTTCGTATGGCCCTCATATTACGGCACCTCCCGATATTCGGTATTTTGATGATTTTAGCGATATTATTCAAAGGAATTGTTTCAAATTTGGTATTTGAAGTTCGTAATGGATACTACAGCCTATGACAGACAGTTGCCTGTACAGGTCCACGTCTTCGTATAGCCCCCATATAACGGCACCTCCTGATATTCGGTATTTTGATGATACTAGAAACATCATTCACCAGAATTGTTTCAAAATTGTTTTTTGAAGTTTGTAATTAATACTACAGCTTATGACAGAAAATTGCCTTTAGAGGTCCACGTCTTCGTATAGCCCTCATATAACGGTACCTCCCGATATTCGGTATTTTGATGATTTTAGCGACATTATTCAACGGAATTTTTTCAAATTTGGTATTTGAAGTTCGTAATGAATACTACAGCCTATGACAGAAAATTGTCTGTACAGGTCCACGTCTTCGTATGGCCCTCATATTACGGCACCTCCCGATATTCGGTATTTTGATGATTTTAGCGATATTATTCAAAGGAATTGTTTCAAATTTGGTATTTGAAGTTCGTAATGGATACTACAGCCTATGACAGACAGTTGCCTGTACAGGTTCACGTCTTCGTATAGCCCCCATATAATGGTGCCTCCTGATATTCGGTATTTTGATGATTTTAGCGACATTATTCAACGGAATTGTTTCAAATTTGGTATTTGAAGTTCGTAATGGATACTACAGCCTATGACAGAAAATTGTCTGTGCAGGTCGACGTCTTCGTATAACCCTTATATAACGGCACCTCCCGATATTCGGTATTTTGATGATTTTAGCGACATTATTCAACGGAATTGTTTCAAATTTGGTATTTGAAGTTTGTAATTAATACTACAGCCTATGACAGAAAATTATCTGTGCAGGTCCACGTCTTCTTATAGCCCCCATATAATGGTGCCTCCTGATATTCGGTATTTTGATGATTTTAGCGACATTATTCAACGGAATTGTTTCAAATTTGGTATTTGAAGTTCGTAATGGATACTACAGCCTATGACAGACAATTGTCTGTACAGGTCCACGTCTTCGTATAGCCCATATATAACGGTACCTCCCGATACTCTGTATTTTGATGATATTAGCAACATTATTCAACGGAATTGTTTCAAATTTTTTATTTGAAAAAACATTGATTCTAATTTACAAATTTTTTAGAATTATATTTGGGACTCGGTTCATGAGTTCGGTAGACTTATTAAAATATTTAACAAACTCCCTTCTAACTTAAAAATCCTACCCACAAACCCACGCATATTCCCTGCCCATTGTTAACACTCTCACTATGTCCTGCATTAGTGCAATACAATAATTCTGCATGAATCTATTAAAATTTAATTTTAATATAATAATTTCCTCTTTTTCAGAAATATATTACGCTAATGAAAGGAAATGGAAAACAATAACTTCTGGGGGCGCTAATAAGCAGCAATATATTGTCGAGTGGCCACAGTTAAAGAATCAGTAAAAAAACACAACATCAACGACCTTGGTTAGCTGCACAATGTTGTGTTCAGACGCAATCTATTTTTATGTTGGGAAATTACTAACCAGCTAGCTCTGGTGACTCCCACGATCTGAGGAGGGCCGCCTGGCCACTGTGAAACGTTAAAGTTCAACGGAGAGTGAGAAAGACCACCAATAACACAACAACAACAACACAAATTACTTTATCTCTCAAGTAATATGATTGCTAATCAAATTTTAATGAATGATGAGAGTGCGAGGCACTAGCGTAACAACAAGAAAAAATAAAAAAACGTTAACTAAGGAAGGTTAAGCATGTTTCCTGGTAGACCGAACATAAGAAAAACTCCAAAACCCAATAAGGATGCCAGCCAAGTGCAAGCAATGATGGTTAGCTAAGACGACGATGAGGATGATGACGATGCTGATGATGATGATTGTGGCAATCAGGATGATGTTCTTCAGTGGGTAATAATAGTTCTGGAAAAAAACCCCGTCTTCCAACAAAATGTAATTTTTCATCTACTCAAGAAACCAGCGATGCCGACAAACACCGCTAACGAATGAACGGCTTTAAAGTATCTATGCCACTACGGTACCAGGGCAGAGAGAATCAGCCAAATGCAATAAAACTACCACCACTTAATACAATACAGTAACAACAACAAAAACGAGAACGAGAGATTCACGATGCTAGGAAGAAGAAAAGGCTTACCTTTAAGTTGCTCCAGAGATTTTAGCAAATGTTGTGCTGCCTCCGTTTTCATAATATCGCGCAGTTGTGCTGTATGCAGACGTGGATAGATTTGTCGTGGATTCAAGGATTTGGCACAGACCCGCGATAACAGATTGCCCATGGTGTCGGCAAGTTCAGCATTTAATATTCGCATTGCCTTAACACTGCTATAATCTGAAAAAAAACAACGAGGAAGCAGAGAGAAGTGCCATAAGCAAAATATTAATGAAAATGTTCTGTTGGAGGACTGCTTAATACAAGCAAAAATAGATAGGAAAAAACGAATGTATACAAATAAATAAATAAATGATAATTTATGCCAGTAACAAAAATTGTTCAACACAAGATTGAAGCGACATATTTAAATTCGACAATAATATATTTTTACAGAGAATTAAAACTAAAAAAGATATTCTCAGATTCGGAGCAGATTTTTCTACTTCTGACATATTCGACCTAAGAAAATGGGAAAGAGAGGACCGATATATAATATCTCCTTAGTAGATCTTGTGTCGTATTAGGTTGATCTTCATACCTTTTCTTATGTTGGTAGAAATATTTGCATGAGTGTGAAATTTGAAAGAAAATATAACTCTAATTTCACATTTTATATAATTTATTATTCAAAATGTTGACCCGTGGTAGGGAAGGTGGCATTAGAAGGAGTGGGCCGATATATCCCATCTTATTCAAACTTTTGACCTTTGTAAATGAGGTTAAAATGTTGAAATGTGTGAAATTTAAATAGAATCTGCAGTATATTTTGCCTTTTTATGAGCGTTTTAGATATTCAAAATTTGGGCCCTTTGTGGGCGAGGTACTAGAAGAAGTAGTCGAATCTTTCCCGTTCTCGCACTCGATCTTGCGGTAATGCAAACAAATTTGAGCAAAATAAGATTATCCGTTATCTTTCTATGCGGTAAATTATTTTGACCTTTTGTGGGGGAGGTACCAGAAGGAGTGGACCGATGTACCAAGTTTGGACCAAATCGGACACTCCCTTCAAGAGTTATCCTGCGCACCAGTCAGCCAGACAGACGGACATCGCTTAATCGACTCCAAATGTCCTGAAACTGATTTGGTCCGAAGTGGTCAAGTCCGAAGATGGGCTTGATCGGTCCACGATATAGTATAGACACCATTTAACGGTACCCCCGATGTTCATTATTGTGACCCCTGGAAGAGATTTGTCTATATAGGTCCACGATATCATATAACCCCTATATCCGGTATATAGGGGTTCCTCGCGTTATTCGGTATTTTGTGATTTTTAGAATTGTCTGAAAATCCTCACAATTGTCTATATAGGTCCACGATATCGTATACCACCCATAAAACGCCCCCCCCCCCCCCCTCTCATAATTCGGTATTTTGACGATTTTAGCAAAAAATGTTAATGGAATTGTTTTAAAATCCACATATGGGGTTCCTCCTGAATACTTTACCCCCTAGAAGAGAATTCAAATTTCGTATATAAAGTTCGGAACAGTTACTACAGCCTATGACACAAATTACTTATGCAGGACCACACCTTAGCCCCCCTATAACGGTTTTCATTTGAGCGTTATTCTCCGACGGAATTTTTTTGAAAACTTTCAAGTTCCTTCCAAAAGCCGAACTTTGCTGCTTTTTTACTTGTTTTTTGCCAATGTATAGTTCAATTCATTAATTTTCTACTGAGAGCTTGGATTCCCTGGATAATATTTTTTTTATAAATTATGAAGGCAAAAAATAATACTTGACATAAACTTTCTATTGATACCAATGATTCACGTTACAGACCTCATACTTCTTAAAATTTCTAATGTGTTTTGGAGTTAAGTCACAGAATATTAGTTATTCTTATTTATATTAGAATTCTAAAACGGTCTAATGATTTTCATGAAAATTAATTTTTCAAAATAGCCTATGAGATCGGAATACATACATAATTTCCTTGCCCCACCAAAAATGCAAATGAAATCCAAACCAAATCGTCGTCAATTTGCTTCAATTTAACAAAATAGCTAAACTCATCAAAATACGCCAGCATTCAATCAAATCACTTAGATTGCTAAGTGCTGGCATATTAGAGCTCCCCATACAAAATGGTTGTGTTATTGTTGTTGGTTGTGGTGATGGTACCCACCCAGAATGGTGTTCTTTACCTGCTAAAATTCTACGCCCCTCAGCAATTTTGATGGAAAAAATTAAATGGAAGGGAGCAAGGACTCGGATAGTTGATGGCTTTTTGGAGAACCAAATGAATTACACACACGGCAGCACCCAACACATAGTGCAAAATTAAGTTACGCCAGCAAGTGAACATATCTTTTCAATTCAATCAATTATTTTTCATGAATGTGCTGATGGTAGAACTAAAAATATATGTTTTGCTTGAAAATTTTTGACAGCGCTGTTTTATCCAGGAGGGGAGAAAAATGGATTTTGGTATGGATTTCCAAGGTTAATTATTAGTGCAGAGTAGGGAGCATGTATATGCTGGTCCGTACTGAAAGGACCATATTATTAGAAAAATTAATATCAGCAAAGTGTACAATGTTCACTTCAGCAAAATTCTGAATTTATGTTGCCCAGTACTTTTCGTATCTTAAAAGCACAAATCTCCGTAAACCTAATCTTACATCTACTAACACATACAGGGTGAGATGAAAAATCTGCAACCAACTTCAAACTGCTGTCTAAGCCACTCGTAAAACAATTGTTAAAATTATTCCAGTGACACCTTATTATATTGTTTACAAGACTACAAAAGCATTTTGGTGAGAATTTTCCAGAAAAAAAAATTATTTGTGATGGAATTCAAGCGTGATAGGGTGATTTTTTTATATTTGGCTGGGAAACCATAAGTGGCTATCGTTAGAGCACTCCAGCATTTAAATGTGAATAAATCTTTTGTGTCCATCGCTCGTTACCGTGATACTGGTAGCGTAACCCGACGACAAGGAAGTGGACGGAAGAAAATAGCAACATCAGCAGAAATGGTTCGGAAAGGAAAGAAGCGACTCGATCGAAACCCGCATCGCAGTGGCCGAAACATGGCTCGTGAGCTGAACTTATCGCAATATTCCAATATTCGGCAAATATTGAAAAATGAAATTCCAAAAAGTGTGAGAACTTACACCGCAACAACAACAGAAAGAAAATAGACTCAAAAAAGCTAAAGAGTTGCTTCGCTTGACCGAAAGTGGTGAACTGACGAATTTGGTTTTCTCCGATGAGAAAACATTCGTTGTCCAGCAGTTTGCAAACAAACAAAATTATCGTGTTTACTTTGCAAAGAGGTTAGCTGAAAATGTGAATCTTCGGTTGGCCACCAGAACTCAAGCGCCGGCCATGGTGATGGTGTACGCCGCCATAACAGCCGATGGTCGCTCCCCGCTCGTATTAATCGACCGTGGCATCAGAACAAAATGCCGAATATTATCGCAAATATGTTCTGGGCATGCCTTGGGCACGCAAACATTTTGACCGCAGACCCTGGACATTCCAACAGGACTCAGCACGCACCACTCATAGATGGTTACAAAATGAGGTTTCTCGCTTTATTTCCAGCGCACAATGGCCACCAAAATCTCCGGATACCAATCCGTTGGACTATTGTGTCTGGAGTATTTTGGAAAGCAAGCTTGGCACTAAAAAATACCAAAGTGTCGATCACCCCAAGCAAGCGCTTCGACGGGAATGGGCCAAAATACCGCAGAGCAATATTCGGACAACGTGTGACGGTTTCATTGGCCCTTTGAAGGCCATAATTCGTGCCAAAGGTGACCAATTCGAAGGCAATGTTGGTACAAAAAAATACCAAAGTATCGATCACCTCAAGCAAACACTTCGCCGGGAATGGGCCAAAATACCGCAGAGCAACATTGGGGCAGCGTGTGACGGTTTCCTTGGCCGTTTGAAGGCCATAAAACCGTGCCAACGTTGACCAAGTTTTGCATTTTTTGCTTTCATTCAATAAAATTTAAAAAACATGTAAAAATTATGGCGTTTGACTTTGTTGCAGTTATTTTTTATATCACCCTGTAAACGACAACTAAACTCAAATATACACCGAAAACCTCAAAAAGAAAACAATTGAATCGCCGAAAGAAAAAACTCTCAAAATTCAAACCACAAAACAATTTCTTTTGTAATGGAAAAATGTTTGCCTAGATAAAACAACTCTAAACTCAACTCTCTCTCTCACACACACACACACAAAACACAGAATTTCTCAAAGACCTCACCAAGCAATTCTTTGATATTTGTATCGAATCGGAACACATTTCAATGCGTTAGAACAAAGTAAGACTATTTTTCAAATCATCACCTTTGTTGTGATTTGAATACATTGGCAATGAGGCACAGACAAGAGGGCAGGGGCAGGGCAGGGGAGAGGAGGTAGGCTGAAACCAATTCCTTTAGATCTGTGATTTTCATTCTTCGCCTACACACTCACAGACACACAAAGAGAAAATTTTCCTGAGTGAAATGTACGAATTTCATTACCAAGACTAGTGCTACGAAATGTATCCTTCCTAAGTATTTCAAGAATTGAATGGTTAGAATCAGAACAACAACAAAAAACGAAATCTGTTTACATTTCACAGATCATAAAACCAAACAAACTACGTCGTTAAATTTTTAAAAGCCTGTTGATGCCGAGCAATAAATTTTAATTTTACTGACACTCGAAGTGTTTGGAGTTTCAATTTTAATGTCAGATGTAAAAGTATAAAAATGGAGAGGCGGTAGTTAGTGAATGGAAGTTATTAAATGTATTGAAGAATAATTATTACACCAACAAAAATTAGAAATCAAAAACCAAATACATGATCTTCATTTGTCAATATCTTTTTTATTATCAACAATTTAAAACAAATGTTTAAAGAAACATAATTAGACACTGCACTATGGTTTTTTTACGTTTATTTTGGCATAAACTCTAATTTTTAAGCTATTAAATTGAAATTTGGTTTGTATAAATTTTTTATGCTCCCAAGATGACCTACCAATTTTCATATAATTTGGGGCACTATTTCATATAGCTGCTATATAGCTGATCTGGCCGATTTGCCCCAACTTTTTTGTTTATGAAGCTACTGAAGTGAAATTTGGTTTGTATACATATTTTATTCTCCCAAAACGACCTACCAATTTTCATATGATTTGGGGCACTATTTCATATA